ATGAATTCAGTAGCAAGCAAATTCAAGGCAAAGCAAGGGTTGTTACGGGCTGCCCCAATCTATCCTCTGTCAGGTTGCTGCAGGAAGCGAGGGGGAAGAGGCAAAGGGGAGGCTGTGCGCTGCTGGTAGCATCCGGACCTTCCCTACCCTAATGCTGAAGGCTGGAGCAGTGCCATAGCGCTGGCTGGGGTCGCCCAGTTAGTGTGCTGGTTACAGTGGCAGACTGAGGGGTAACTTTATAAGTACTCAGAAGTTATTGAGAGGTCCTGAAAATCATTTGGAAAACCCTGAGACAAAATTGATGTACTATGCTTTACTCCCATTTTGTACTGCTTAGATTTCTTGAAAAGAAAAATATGTAATGGAAGTCATGAGGTCATTCAGATCATACTTATGATACAGCCAGCTAAAAATCTGTGAAGGAATTGCACTAAATCATTAAGGAGCTGTGACTGTTTCAACTGAGGGCACCCATGAACCTGAATCCACTTTAATAAATGCTGTTAACTGGGGCTTAAATGGTTTTAAAAATTGCTGTCAGATGTCTAGAATAAACAGTTTTTCTTGTTCTCCTGTTTAAGGAGAGAGACTGAAAAAAATTCAAAAAATATTTGTTAATGCAAATGCATTAAAACTGTTCTGGAGTACGAATGGTACAGGAAGTGTTACTTGTTTGTTCGTTGTAGGCATTCCATCAGTGTTAAAAAATTACAAGTAACTTCAAAGCTGTGTGTACAGAAGGTATAAAACCTCTGTAACGTGGTTAGGAGTGTTCTTTCTTGGGAAATCTAGCTGGAATATCTGCCTTTGCTTACAGACTTAGGCAGGTTGTGCTCCTGATGTGTTTCTGAGGTGACAGTTAAGTAGTTATTGGCAAAGGTGGTTTAGAATTACCGTTTGTGAACACCTGAACTACTCTAAAAGTCAGGGATGCTGTCTCCATGTTCCTTTCTGTGTAATGAAGTTCTCTTCCAGTATTTACAACTTCAGCTTTGGGATACAGAATCACAGAATTTTCTAGGTTGGAAGAGACCTCAAGATCATCGAGTACAACCTCTGACCTAGCACTAACAAGTCCTCCACTAAACCATATCACAAAGTTCAACATCTAAAAGTTTTTTAAAGACCTCCAGAAATGGTGACTCCACCACTTCCCTGGGCAGCCCATTCCAATGCCTCACAACCCTCGCAGTAAAGAAGTTCTTCCTAACATCTAACCTAAAACTCCCCTGGCACAACTTTAGCCCATTCCCCTTGTCCTGTCACCAGGCACGTGGGAGAACAGACCAACCCCCACCACGCTACAGCCTCCTTTAATGTACTTATAAAGATTCTCCTTTTCTCCAGGCTGAACAAACCCAGCTCCTTCAGCCGCTCCTCGTAGGACTTGTTCTCCAGGCCCCTCACCAGCTTCGTCGCCCTTCTCTGGACTTGCTCGAGCACCTCGATGTCCTTCTTGTAGCGAGGGGCCCAAAACTGAACACAGTACTCGAGGTGCGGCCTCACCAGAGCTGAGTACAGGGGGACAATCATTTCCCTAGCCCTTCTGGCCACACTGCTTCTTATACAAGCCAGGATGCTGTTGGCCTTCTTGGCCACCTGAGCACACTGCTGGCTCATATTCAGCCGACTATCAACCATCACTCCCAGGTCCTTCTCTGCCAGGCAACTTTCCAACCACTCATACATCACTGCATTTTCCAGTGAATCAGGTCAGGGTAAAACTTTGCCAGGTGCTGGTGCATGGGGAGCTTGTCCTGGTGGAGAGGATTTGTTTTAAACCCAATTTAGGGAATCCAAGGGTCCCTGGCAGATTCTCCATTAGTGATGTTCAGGCCTCTAAATATCAGGATCTGAGTGAGAGCAGACTGAGTCCCACAGTAAGTGAAGTAGTTGTAGAACAGAATAGGGACTTTTTTTGTGTGTGTGTACATGTTGCATTCAGCAGGGTTTCCTTATTTATTTTTTCCTTTATTTTCCTTATTTATTTATTTTTAAATACTTTATTCTGGTTATTTACTGTAATTAAAATAAATGAGCACTTGCTTTTAGCTTTCCTAGCCATAGTGAAGTGCCTGAAGGGTAAACCAGTGTGCTTGACCCATCTGTCTTCATGTACAATCTGTACCTGGAGTAGACATTATGTAGCTGACACACTCATACATTGGCTTCTTTTTGAAGAACCATTACAAATTTGGGTGCGAATCCTGCACTAAGGGGGAAAGGACTCCATAAAATATTTCTAGCCAAAGCAGCGAGGAAAGTGAAGTTTTCATTCCAAACATAAGCCAGAGAACATGAAAGAGACAACTTGGTGAAAAAATGAATAGCTGGCAAGGCAGGGGGAGAAGAAATGAAGAACACTGAGGAACTTATATCTTGAGTTGTTTTTCCACACTTCTGCAAATAGCAGGCTGGTGTTGCCTTTATTACTTTGCTAACAGTGCTGTTGAAGGATTAGCCTTTCACCCTGGCTCCTTTTTCTTCATTTTCTTTAAATTTGGTCAACCTTCAGCTGGCAGCCATGTCTCCCTTTAGCCCTGTGGAGTGCTAAAGTTTTTACAGTGCAGTATTAGAGCCAGGGATGGAGCTCTGGCAAAGATTTTAGCAGCATTCTTCAGGCTAATTCTTCTTTTCTTTATTGGCAAATACTTTGTTGGGGTTTTTAGTCTGCAGTTGCCACATAATATCTTAGTGATCTTTTTCACTTCAAGTGTCTTCTTTAGCACTGACTTCTGTCTCCCGTTCCTTCCTCATTCATTTATTCATTTCCCTTTCTTATATTTTCATTTCCAGTCAGGCATGTATGCAAAAGCATTGGGTTACATTTAGATGGTACCATACCTCTGGAGTCAGAAATCCCATTTAACTTATGGGATCTTACCCTACTTCAACTCACTTGCCTGTAACTTGTCCTAGGCCTGCATAATGCCTAATATCATGGCATAAGGTTATTCCTTAGTGTTAAGGTTGTTAGGTGTAGTGCTCTCTAGTTTCAAATCCTTACTGAGTGAGGCAGCAGTATGTTATTTATGTCCAGATGCAGCACACAGAAGCAGACAGCTAGGTAGTAAAGAAGATTGTAGTGCCGTGGCTGGAAACCTCCCCTGGGCATTCCTTACTGCTGCTTCTGGCACCAAGGTTTCAGGCCCTGCTGGGTTTTCACTGGGTTATGTTCATTTGGTTTGCTCAGATTTGAGAATCCTCTGAGGCCTGAAACAATATTTGTTCTTTTGTACCTCAGATTTCATTTTTGCAGAGGAGTAATAGGGACCAGCAACACTGAATTAAATGGGAAGATGTTGCCCGTGCTCTGACAGTGGTGGAAAAAAGATTATTTCGGAGCAGAGTCATTCCTATGGCTCCCATTGTGCAGCAGAGCTTGTGCAGTGCTCCCTGCCTCCTGTGGTGTGCCCAGAGCAAGGGTGGCCTGCTGTGGGAAGAAGGCAATGTGCCTGTTAACAGTGGGGAAACTGGAAGTATGCAATTATGACACTTAAACCTTTAACCTGCCCCTTCCCCCAAATATTAAAGGAAAAATGTGTCCAAACATTTGTCAAATTCTCCTGAGCAGTAATACCTACTAGGAAAGCTAATCATTGAGCTAAGGGAAGGCATTTCATGAGCTGAAAATTAACTGGTATTGGGACTGATGCTTACTGCTTGCTTGGGAAATTTGGATTGACTGGAGAGTTTAAGCTCTGAAAGGCTGTTTATAAAATAAAAATGTTGACAAGCCTTTCACGGTTCACTAAGGAGAACTCATGTCTGTTGGGATTATTCTGTCAGGGATGAGCTTGTTTGTGTTAAGTTCTTTACAATGCTCAAAAGTGGTTTTCTGTAAGATGTTGAAAAGAGCTATTTTGCATTTCACTCGAAGGAAGTAGGGGAAAGTAACTTTGCCTTTAGAAGTAGCTTCCAATCTTTAAAGTGGGTATTCAGGTTTTTCCTTTTCTTAAGTGCGTAACAGATGTTTGTGTCCTGAGGATTCACTGAACTCATGAAAAAAAAAAATTGAAAACACGTGTAGTGCTTATGTGCATCTGAAGTGACTAATGTATCTTGCTGCTTTTGTGTTGTACCCCAATACACCTAGCGGGTGGGACCTTACAGGTCTGCATTACTTGATGGCTGATAGCAAAATACAGACCAGCTTTCACAAGGGCAGACAGACCTATTGTACAGATCACTCAAAACCCAGCACGGCACTTAGGTTGCTCAGCAAAAGGGGTGTGAATCACTCTTGGCTTCAATGCAATTAGTTTAGCAGCTTAAGTTATGTACAGGGTTAGTTGGTCTGGAGTTAGCCCTAATATGGTTACTGAGGAAAAATGGGATCTTTTTAACACAGCAGTGTAGATGTTTGCTTCTAGTGGCCCCTGCTTTCAGTGAGGTTACTGAATGTTTCACTTCTCTGTGAAAGTTATCATCGTGACCTGATATTTTTAGAACAGTGTCTTTGGGGCTGGCTCTCCTATCTCCTATTTATATCCTGGATTCATTCTGCTGCTTCCAACCAAGCAAACCAGAGTGTTTGCTAAACACTCTCTGCAGCTCATTATAAAACTTCACTTGTTACTTCTGAAAACTGAAAGGTTTAGCAGTATTGCAGATTTCCGTCTCTACTAGCACGTTGGCCTTCAAACATACAGTCACTGTTTTGACAGTATTTTACATCTCTCTTTTCCAAGCGGTGTTCTATTAGATTAACTTGGATAGGAAGAATAGCTTCACATTTATCATGTGTAACTTGCGGGTTCAGTCAAATGCAGTGAGATATTGAGTAGTTTAAATCTCTAGCATATGAACTGTAAATTAACATTAAAGGCCTTTCAACATCCATTGCTCTGTTTAAATGGTTGTGCAGAATTACTTGTTGCCAGTAATTTTTACTTGAATACAAATATATCATCTGTTTTAATGTTGTTTTAACTCTCTTAAACTGCATGTCACGAAAAGAATAACTTAAAATTAGGCAATGGCAAGGCTGAATAATGTAATGGATCATCAGGACTTTTATTGCCATTTAATACAAGTTTCAGGTTTGCTTGCAGCTCAAATTACATTTCCTAAAAGCCAATGGTATTTTGTTGCTGATCATAGTCCTGGAGGATAAAGCTCCATCTTGCTGGGACCACTGATTGAGTTTCTTGACAGACAGCATAAAAATCTGTCATGAAGAAAGAACTCTCCTGTTACAAGAGACGACTCTCTTTACCAAGTGAAGTTTAGGCATACAGACACAACAGTGAGGGGAGTTCTCACTACCGACTCTTTTTTGAATAAACAGAACTTCAGACCCCAGAGCTCTCCATTTATCACATTTCTCACAAGTGTGAGAGATTTGGACACAGAGACGACAAATCAAAAACCCCATAGAGTATACTGTGGGACGGATTGCAGAGCAGAATCTAAGAGCAGAACTCTTTTTGGGAAGAGTTTGTCATTTGCAGGTCATGTAGCAGTTGTGAAAAACAGCTTTGCATCTTCTTAATAACAGTTTATTGATTTGCCCTGTAAGCTAAGGACTGGGGTCCATGCTTCCCAAGGAATTTGGGAAGCTTGGTGGCAAGTACTCAGTACTTCTGAAGATTGCAACAGGATATCTTAGCTACTGAAATCAGGACTATGCTAGTACCCGTCCATGATAATTTCTCATGGTGTTGCCACATATTTATCTCACTGCGGCATGTCTCTACCTGCTCTCCTGCTTCCTGTTGTCTCTACCACTTCCCACAATATGCTGCAGGATGCGCAGTACTGTACTAGGCAATAAAACCTTACTTTCTCACCCTTTCTCCTTCTCATGACCTACTATGCATCTTTTTTCCACAACACAAAGCTGAACAAGGCAGGGAGTTGGAAATTCACTACTTTTTCTGAAAACTTTTCATGCCTGATTTATTTATTTTTTAAACCACAGGGGGACTGAGTTCCTTTGAAGTTACTTGTTTAGTGTTTGGGGGAAAATAAAATGCCAGTTTAAGCTTCTGATCTTTCATGATGGCATATAGAGATCCAGTGGTCAAACTTATGCTTAAAGCAATTGTTCTAGAGCCACACTTTTCCAGGCTAATTAATTACTGGTTAAGAATGACTAAAGCTTGATTATATTGAAGCTTGTATTTCAGCTTCCATCTGTGGTGAAATCAAGATGTATTCAGCCTTATCTCTATTCATGGAGATGGCTTGATTTTTATTCTTATGGTTAACAAGTTCCTTGCTTATTGACTGTGCATTTGAGAATGACACTACTAAAAAAACTTGATTGGGAACATTATCATGCACTGTTAGTTCAAACTGTGGAGGTTAGGAAAGGTACACATTGTGAGAACAATAGCCCGTCTTTACCCCTGTATTTGCAGTACCTCCCTGGTACAAATGCTGATCTACCCTAACGTGTGATAATAGTATGTGGCAGCTCATTGTGTATGTGATTGACCACTTGTTTAGTCAGTTCCTGCACTTATGCAAACAATCAATACTTTCATACCTAAATTCTCCTCTTGTTTTTATATCTAACTATCACTGACTTCACTACCAATGTGAAAGTGTGTGCCCAGAATAAGTACAGAAAGAGGTTTATCTTTGTTGCCAGTCTTAAGATATATTTTTTCCAGAGATATTTGATTAGAGACAACTTTTTCCTTAAGGCAATACAAAATAAAACAGATGATGTCTTAAAGTATATACTTAAAATTATTTTACAAACAACAACGCTGTTTTCAGCTTGTAAGTTTTGTGCTATGAAACTGTAATGACAAATGCCTTGTGGAATAATTGTTGTATGAACAGTGGTCATGCCCATTCAGTGCAGCAGTGTGTGTGTGTGGGGAGACAGCTGCTGATTTTACCAACTTGAATGCCTCCTGACTAACTGTTCATTTTATGGCATAATGGTGTGACCCTATACAAACTATGCTATAAGGCGTATTTAGAAAGCAGCTCCTGGACTGGTCCTCAGGAAAAGGCTACACTGTGAGCATGAAGGAACTTGATTGAGGTTCTGCAATGCATGTTAAGTATTGTTATATCATGTACTCTTCAAAAAAATCTTCTTCCTTTCCTGTATAAATTCAATAGGTACTACTAGAGTTTATGTTTACTTAACTAGTGATGCTCGTGTGCTCACATGTATGCATCTCGTTCATCTTTTTTCCCTCCAAGTATTTTTTCTTTTTTTGTACCAAGTGGGACATTCTCCACAGTGGTAGGATCTCTTATTTCAGCATAATTTACTGGCTTAGTGGCTGGAGTCTTTATATTTGGGTGAAGGATGCAGCTTCAAATCTCTTCTAAGCAGAGGTAATGTTGTTTCGTACACTTTGGGTTATAGAAAATCTTGATGTGGGGAGTGCTGGGGAAAGCAGCACTTCTGATCATGCTTCATGCAAAAAACTATGCTACATGTTGTTCTTATATGAATCAAAAGCTTGCATCTTGATGGGAGCCTCCCTGGAGTTTGTAATTAGCCGCTTAAATCTCACCACTCTCTGGGTCTTGAGACAATTCTACTTCTTAGCCATCTTCTACTAGGTGCCTCAAGCAGCTCATTTCTGTGTGCAGGCTTTTCTGGATCATTTGGGAGATGTTTCTGTCCTTTTAAAGACAGCCTAGGGAGCGTTGGGGCTGTATATTTGCTAGGCAACAAGAGAACCCAAATTGGGTGCTTTAACTCTGAGTGTTGAGAAAGATTTTTTTTTTTTTTTTAAGATGGTACCTTAATGCTTTGAATGCAGGAAATGCTGTTAAATGTTTGCTTTTATTTCTAAAATCCTCTCCATTGTGTTGTGGATCTGTTCAGGAGCAGCTGTATAAAAACTGCTGGGAGCATGAGTATGTTAGAAAGATATTTCTTTCCATCCCGGCTGGTTAAAGATGCATTCAAAGGCCAGCGTACATGTGTGAGTGGCATGATACAGTCAAATGCAATGTGAGAAAACATGCGGCTGTAATGGGTTTACAGTGGGCTGGCAGTGCCTACCTTTTTGATGACAACTGCTACGGTTTAAAAAAAAAAAAGACTGCATATTGTTGTAGTTATATAAGTGACGGTAAACTTTATGTAGAAGAACAGGAATTTACTCAGTAAGATATAAGATTTTTGTGCTTAGTACTCTTTCTAGTCTCTTGCTCATGTAATGTTCTTTCTTTGGTTTAGTTTTTATTTACAATTTTAAATTACTGTTCATGCCAATGAATTTAGCTGACGTTGACATGATGTGTGTTCAAGCCGGAGTTCGTATGTTCCTAATCCAAGATCTCCTTCACAAATATCTTCCTTGCCTGTAGCCTGGGTGCAGCCTGTTCTCTCCTGTTTTGGCCCTAGTGTATGAGCAGAGGATTCGTAGTTTTCACTCAGTTCATCATTATTTATGATATAACCGGTGTCCTCGTTCTTCAGTTGGTCCTGTGTTTCAGACAAGGAAAAACATCAGTGGAAGAAGCTATATAGAGAAGGATTTTTAATAAAGCTTAAATGAAAAACAGGTCTGAAGCAATTCTACTTTGCCTTTTTTTTTTTTTTTTTTTTTTTTTTTTTTTTTTTTTAAGCTACTAATTTACCATGTTGATCTCATCTTGATGTTGATTAAAGCAAATAGTTGCTTATCATGGTCAGCTTTCAGGCTGTACTGGGGAACATAGTTTACTGTCCAGACCTAAGATAACTTCAGTACTTAGATACCACTGATGCCAGTGGAATGGGACAGCCAATACTTTCAGCATCTGACTGAATTATTTAAAATATTTCCCATATTTGAAGCTCACAAAATCTGTGGCTGTTCTTGAAAATGTAGCACTGTACCTTCTGAGACCCCTCCTCTACAATCCTGAAGAAATCCATATAATCCATATAATAATTGTTGTTGAAAATAATAGGCTTTGGAAAAGGGACTTTACCAAGGTGTTTCATTGAGTAAGGTGGGTTTTGGGTTACTCCTAAAATACCATTAACTAAGCTAGGTACTTACTCCGTATGCACTGGGGCTGGTCAGAAGTCTGGCAACAGGATTACACCATTCGGGTAACGTCGTTGTGAGAGGTGGACCAGCATGGGTTAAAATAGGTTTTAGGTATCTGTGAAGTTCATTAAAGAATATCTCCCATATTGGTTATTGATACTAAGATGCTTCTGTATTATGCAAGGAAACTTCATTTCAAAGCTTACAGTAATTGTCTAGTTGAATTGAAACAAAGCAAATAGTTCTTTGCTAACCCGTTACTGTGTTGGTTCACCTTTCATTAGTTAGGATGACCTGGTGATCAAAGCCTGTTCTGAAGGGCACCAGAATGGCTGAAGGGTATGTCACAGGATACAGAAATGGAGAAGGAATTCAAAGAGAAGAAATACACAGTAGATTATCCTGTTTGCTGTTCCCATCTGCTGATTGCTGTAAGAGTGATCTCTTATGCAATTGTAACAGGAAACACTTTAAGATGCAACTGTATCAGCTGGTTATGTAAGAATAGTAGTAAACTTTTTCTTAAACATATACTCAACCTTTTGTAAGATCAGTGCATTTCTTCAATCAGCAAAGTATATTTCAAATAAAAAATTTCAAATATTTCAAAAAAAATTTCAAAGTGTCTTTGTTTCTGGGAGTGTACGTAAATTCTCAGCAATACCCTATTCTCAGCATTCAACACATTTTACACTTCATACATCAATGCTCCTTTATATAAAATTATGTAAATAAGTTAAGAACAGGCTTTATGCTCTTGTCTCACGCCTGTCTTTCCTATCTTTTCATCCAAAAGGGCTTTATTGAGATAAAGGAAAAACCTGCTCATCTTAAGCAATTATATCATCCTTGTATCTGTCAATAATAGCTCTCCCAAGAGTCCTGCAAGTTGACTTATCTCCTCAGCTACTCACAAAGTAATTTTTGGTGTTCTCTGGGAAGCAGGTCTGTCAGCTATTTGTGCTGCCAGGGAAAACTTGCTTGATTGATTATTGACCCTCTTTATTCTCCCTTCTGCCCCAGCTCTCTCACCCCCTCATTAAAGAGGAGAGTAACAAATGTAACTCTGAGGGGTTACTTGAGCTCTGCAGCAATATTGCAGGAATACTGAGTAAGTAGCAGTATGTCTTCAACCTAGCCCAGCCAGTACCACCTTTTCTTTCATAACCGTCTGACATCACTGCTCCACACACACTGTACAAACTCTGTCTGCTGAAGAAACTGTCACGTAAAACACCCTTTATGCTCTCAGTTACAGACTGAAAGGCTAGATAATCTGCTCAGCTCTGTGCTACTGCCGCAAAAGTTCTGTAGTCTGTTTTTGGTATGTGTATTTTTTTTTTCTGTGGAATTTTTTAAAATTAAATTGTATCTATCAGAAGACCATGGAATTCCTTCATGCAAGATTGTATGCTGAGCTAATGTGAAAAAATGAATGAGTCCACTTCAAAAAAGATTTTAAGACTATATTAAAATCTGATTAAATTGATCTAGTGGAATTGACCAAGGTGTGAATCTCATGATCAGATTATGTAGGGAAAGTTTAGGTTCTGAGCAAAACTAAATGAAATCTTTCCTGATCCAATCTTATTGGAAACCTCCAGGGAAAAAAACCTTCAAAGTGCCAAGTAGTTGAGAACTATTATTAAAAAAGCAATGTATAGAAGCTATCAATATGAGTTTTCTGAAGTGCTTAGAAAAGGCAATAATGGAAGTAGGAGCCTAATTCTATGTTTTTAATCTTTTTTAATACTGGCTTTCTTATTACAAACTTGAATTGTTTGAACTGACTTGACAGACCCTGCATGAAAACCAGAGGTTTGTAATGGAAGTTAAACTTGATTATTCTGTTTTCCATTATTCATTCTAAAATAAGAAACTGAGAATGAATATTCCTCTACACTACCTCCTTAATCCAATCTCTTGGATCTCATGTATAAACAGTCTTATAATGTTATAATAAGCTTTATAGCCCTCAGTGAAATGTGTGTTCTGTTTACCTCCTATGTTATGTACTGATGGCACGCATGCTTCCAGGTAGCCCAGCACCATCACAGTGAAATGGGCAGACTACTTGGTTGGCACAAAAGTCTTGAGTGGAGGGATTTCTATTCTACCCTCCCTCCCCCCAGTTTTTTGAGCCACCACACCTTTTGGGGTGAACTTCTAGTGTCTGATGTGTTTAACTATTTAGTTGCTATGCATGTACATTGATGGCTTTTAAATTGAGTGAAGACTTTATTTTGGGCTCCAGTGCATCCTCTAAGTTCCCTTCCCTTTTCTGCATTTGTTGTGAACTGTCAATGTTTTTGCTTTGTAGTCTCTTCTGATACAGTTCAAGTTCAAGAAAACTGACTTCACTTTATTGTAATGCTTCTAAACCTGTAATAAATTTACTGCTTTGTTCCTTAGTTAACTAATAATTATTCAGCCCACTAAAAACTTCACTTGCATGGGCCTATTTTTCATTGTTTTAATGACCTGTGCCATAAATGGTTCTTCTTTATTGTTGGCACAGTTGCTTTATAGTATTGCAGACATAATCACGTTGTTCAGTGTGGCATGAAAGGGGAATTCTAATCCATGTATAACGCTGGCATTTCAAAAATATATCAGACATGGGTCTACAGCATTTTAAGGCTGGCAAAAAAATCTTATCACATTCCATGGCCTGATTACATCTCCAGGGAAAAATAATTTAAATACAGTAATAGAAAAAGATGAATTTTGCACTAAGGCAGCTTTAAAAATTGGAAGAAACTAAGTGTAAAACTTAGCAGAACTCAGATATAACTGCCTAACCAAATCTATGTCTTCCTAATTCAGGGATGGGGAAAAGATAGCAGGAAGATATATCAATCAACCCACTCTCACTTGCATTTCAGTCCTCTATGGGCATAACAGGCTACCTGCGTGTCTCAGATACCATACAGTAAATTAAAGAATGTTATTTTTGGAGTGGTGGTATCTTGTAAGCTGGGAAACTGAGTTTGAGATGTTTGTGCATGTGTACTTACAGCATATAAATTTGTATACTTTGCTGGCATGTTAGCATGCCTTCACTTTTGAAGTAGACCGTTAAATTTCCCATTGAATCCCTATATTTCCAGGCTTCTGCTCTCCGTTCACGTACCCACAAATCTTTACCCTGGGTCCCCTTATGGCTGTTTGAACATCCTGGCAACTGCTTTGGCAGTTCCGTTCTGCAGTCCCTGCTCACCAGGAATAGTTCATCTCTTTTGTACTGCTATCAGACGGCATTTAAATCAGTGTTTACTCCTCTCTGGTTCAGTCTTTCTCACTTTAAATCATGAGACTTCCTCATCTACAGGTAGATAACACGTCGGGCCAATGTAGCCTGAATGCAGATGGGTGGTTTGCTAGGGCTGGTGAAGCTGAACAAGTCGAATGGGTTGTTGGAGGATACAGCATACTCAAAAACAAGATCTTCAGAGTTTTGCTCTCAAGATTGAATAAGTTTGAGGGTATGAATAGCAAACTTTATAAAGGAAGTTTCACAATGGGATCTCGTTTATGCTGGACTTTCAAATCACCAGGATAGGATATGAATTTTTTTCCGCCAAGTGTAGATCACTTCAAAATAGTCTCATCAGGATTTTTAAGGGGAAAAATTTGGAATTGCTTGATTTTTGTTCCCTCCATCTGCCTGAAACAAATGCATATTACAGAAATTTTCCTCCTATATATTAAATGGCTCAGATTACCTGTAATTTTTTAAATAAAGCCTTCAAATGAGAGAGATCAGGTAATCCTTATGGCAAATGGTAATACCAGTAACCATAAATTTAGGATTTCCATTATGCAGAAGATTTGGAGTTTTCAAAGTTTTTGATTCATGTCAGAACGGGAAAAAATAGAATCTCAATTTCTTTCGGTTAGTAAGTTTCAAATGACTACACTTTTGTTAAATTCATGTGTTCTGTCAAATTTTTGAGACTATTGGTAAATTGCTATCTTTTTGACTTAATGGCATTAGCATATTCAAAGAGGGAAAAATACTATGGTTGTAAACACATCTGTTCTGGCTCTAGGACTTGCATTTTTCTTTTGCTTGAGGGTCAGAGTTCTACTCTACCTGTAATAGTTTTGTTAAATATATAATAGTAACTACTGTGCCCTCTCTTTCTGCATGCTTGACTGGAGCTTTTGAGAGAAAACTAATTTATATATAGTTTAAAGAAGAAAAAAACAAAATCCCATGGGCAGGAGAGGTGGCCGCAGTTCTTAAATACATGTGGTAGCTCACCTTTACCTCTATAAAACACTGCATTAGGCTCAGAAGGTATTTTTTTACCTTTTATTTCATTGCATAATGGTGGTTCTGTAATTCAAGGTAATTCTATCCTTCTCAAAGGTAAATACTTTCATACTAAAATATTCGTATTAAAAAGCCCCAAAGTACAGAAATTCTTGTGATACTAGTCAAAATTACATCTAGTGATTTTTCCAGAGATTACTTTCCTATAGCAGGTAGGCTGTATCATAAGTACATGTTTGTTAAAACTATGTCCTTAAATATTCCATTGCCTGGTGTTACTTTTCTGCTGTGCACATACGTCTCTAGAGGCGAATGTTGCCACACCCAGAATCTTTCCTTTGTGCAACTCTTCGAAAGATTCTTGAGGACCGTAGCTTTTATTTAGTGAATACTTCTACTTAAACTGGAGTTTGTAAATTAGTTATGTCATGAGTTTTTGTTATTTCTCATTTTTATATATATGAAGAAATGTATATAAGAAAGTTAACACAGAAAAGATATAATTTCTGTTAATTCCATGTTTTTCACAGTAAGGACAAATGATATCTTGGTCCTTGCAGAGCTGCAGTTTTCAAGAGTGATTTTGATACTAGCTGTGTCATAGTCTAACGAGCAAACACTTCCGTTTTGGTCATGCTTGAGTAGCAGCAGGCAAACCACTGAACTTTAGATTATCTGCCTAAATTTTGTACATGGCTAACTGCTGTTTATAGCTGACTGAGATTATTTGGTAATCTTCATACAACAGTTTGTGTGTGTGACTGAGCTGGTGGGGCACAGAGACATCTCCAAGTCTTAAATGCATGCCCAGCAGATTAAGGGGGAACTTCACAGAA